TGGTGTGAGCTGTTATCGTTGTTTAGGGCAGCTGGGTCTATATGTAGAAATTTTTTTAAAAAATTTTTTTTTTTTTTTTTTTTTTGGTCTTTTTGAGACAGGGTCTCCCTGTAGCCCCAGCTGTCCTGGAACTCACTATGTAGACCAGGCTGGCCTTGAGATCACAGAGATCCAGAGTGCTGGGATTAAAGGCATGTGCCACCACGCCTGGCATAAATTCTATTTATTTTTATGTGTATGAATGCTTTCCCTGCATGTATGTACAATACGTGTAGCACATAGAGTACCCACAGAGGCCAAAAGAAGGCATTGGATCTCCTGGATCTGGAGTTATAGACAGTTGTTACTATGTGGGTACTGGGAATTAAACCTGGGAGTGCTGGGATTAAAGGCATGTGCCACCACGCCTGGCATAAATTCTATTTATTTTTATGTGTATGAATGCTTTCCCTGCATGTATGTACAATACGTGTAGCACATAGAGTACCCACAGAGGCCAAAAGAAGGCATTGGATCTCCTGGATCTGGAGTTATAGACAGTTGTTACTATGTGGGTACTGGGAATTAAACCTGGGTCCTCTGGAAAAATAGCAAGGGCCCTTAACCGTTGACTCATCTCTCCAGTCCTTAACTTTTTTTTTTTTTTTTGAGACAGCATCTCCCTGTAGTCACAGCTGGCCTGGATTCACTATGGAGACCAGGCCTTGAACTCACAGAGTTCAGAGCCTGCCTCTGCCTCCCTCCCAAGTGCTGGGATTAAAGGCGTGAGCCATCACACCCAGCTTGTTTTGGTTAATTTTATCAATAACTTACTTTTTTATTTATAAAATGTTATGTTTTATGGACCCCAGGGAGTCCTGACAGAAAGCACTGTATGTACATCCAACATCTGGAGAGTCTATTCTCACTCAGGAAGGAGAGCTGGAGAAGCAACTCAGTGCTAGCACACATGTTCAGTGTGTGTAAAGTTTTAGATCCATCTCCAGCACACAGAGCTGGGAGGAGAGAAGGGAGGGAGGGGGAGGGAAGGAAGGAGAAAGGAAAGGAGGGAGGGAGAAAAGAGGGAGGAGCGAATTTTTTTTAATTGTGGGAGCCTGAGACAAAAAGGGAAAAGGGTATATACACACCACATAGGTGTGGAAGCCAGAAGTCAACATTGGGAATCTTTCTTGGTATCTCTTGACCTTGGTTTTTGAGACAGGGTCTCTCAGTGGAGTTTAGTGATGTGGCTAGACTGGCTGGCCAGCAAAGCTCCAAGGATCCTCCTCAGCGTAGGATTACAGGCATGTACTACCTTGTCTGGCTTTTTACATGGGTGCTATGGGTCTGAACTCAGATCCTTGTGCTTACACAGCTAGCACTTTACTGAGTCATCTCCCCAGTCCCCAAGAGGCTGAATTTTAATGGTTAGCATCACCTTACTTGAATGGGACTTGTGTCTTCTTGCCTATTAGACAAGGTTTGTCCAATAGATTGTGAAGAAGTGTGTCTCTTTTTAGCTCTTTCAGTTAACCTATTAATTCAAAAATAAACAAGAAATCATTGGTACTCTCCAGAAGTAGCTTTAAGAACAAACAAGTTATAATAGATAGGCCTGATTGTGCACACCTATCACCTTGACACTCCAGAGGCCAAGTCAGGATTTTTAGGTTGAGACCAGATTCTGGCTCAGAAAAACAAAACAAAACAGCAGAATAAACAAGTTATACCTGGAAGTCTATTGTTAGAACACTGAGTACCGAAAAGCAAGTGTCAATTCTTAAGTTCTACATGCTCTAAGGACAGAAGTGAGAACAGGCAGAGAACAATAAAGAACTGATGTAAGGTCAGCGGGCTGTGACAGTCATACCATGCAGTCAGTCGTGGTCTGCTTGCTGCCTTGTGTCTGTTCTGAGCTTGGATCACTTACCCTCTGGATTCCTCAATTTAGGGATTGTGCTCCGAGACTGGCTTACAATCATGGTTACTGGTAGCTTGGTTTTGGGGTCACCTTGAGAACACTTGGGTTCTCAGTCTATGGCCTACGGTAACTCTGGACTTAAACAGAGATGTCCAACTATCCACCGCTGCAGACCATCATCCTCACAATCTGTAGCCTAAACCAACCAGTCTGTCAGAATCCAGCTGGACCTTGTTCCCCTTGTTACCTAGAATTACAGCAGGCCCTGTAAATCTACAGGCAGTCCTATGCCTGGTTAGACAGGCCTTCACTACCTGTGATAGTACCCCTATTAAGCAGACTCACAGCATTGGTCTAGCATTTAGTAGAGGCTAAATTAAAAGTAGCATGATAGACTGCTTTCCTCCTTAAAGACTTGACTTGAAAGGCTATTTGACTATGAAAGACGCCTTTCACTAGTCTCTCCAATGAATTTGCTGTGACACAGACATATAACTTACTTTGCTATACTGAGTACTAAGGTTAATTTAGTTTGTCCTCCAAAAGTCTGCATCCTGGAAGCATGGTCCCAGTGTGGGCTGAGAGGTAGTGGAACCTTTGAGAGGTTAGGCCTAGTGGGAAGGAGGCAACTGCGTCTTTCAGATGAGCTAAGGCTTTTCTCCTCAGGAGGTATTCTTGCTCTTGAGGGATGTTCCATAAAAGAAGGTTTTTAGAGGGGAACCTGACACCTCCCCTGATATTTCTTCCTTCCCTGTTTGCACATGTCCTTTCTGCTTTTGGCCAGTTTCCTGACTGCTTCTCTGGTATGTTGTGACACAAGCAAGAAGCCCTTGCCAGAACAAGGCCAGCCTGGTCTACATAGTTCAGGCCAGCTAGGGCTATGGGAGAACCTGTCTCCAAAAAAGACAAAAAAAAAAAAAAGTATTCCATCTTGGTAATTTTGTCATAGATCACTATGACTAAGAAGACTAAAACAGCAAGGCACAGGGGCTGGAGAGATGGCTCAGAGGTTAAGAACACTGGCTGTTCTTGCAGAAGACCTTAGTTCAGTTCCCAGCACCCACAAGGCAGCTAATAACCATCCCTAACTCTAGTTCCAGGGTATCCTATGCCCTCTTCTGACCTCCTCAGGCACCAGACACACACGTAAATACGTACAGGCAAAACATTTATATACATAAAAAGAAATAAACAATGGGGCTGGAGAGCTGGCTCAGAGGTTAAGAACACTGGTTGTTCTTGCAGAAGACTGGAGTTCGAATTCCAGCACCCACATGGCAGCTAACAACTGTCTGTAACTCCAGTCCCATGGGATTCAACAGCCTCTTCTGACCTCCTCGGGCTTTGCACAAAACAGGTGCACTTACCTACATGCAGGCAATACACACATACACATAAAATAAAAATAATAAATAAAATTTTTAAAAAGTTAAAAAAAAATACCAAGGCACATGAATACCAACACTTAAGTCTTATCTCCCTTTTACTTTCAAATAGAAGATCGGGGGATGGGGTTGAGACAGCTCTCCCTGTAGCTCCAAGTAGCCTGGAATTCACTATGTAGACCAGCCTCCCCCTGTTTGACACCCAAGTTGCTGGGATTAAAGAAGTGATCCACAATGCCCAGCACATTTTTCTTTTTTAAAAAGATGTCCCAAAAAACATTAGTGGAGAGGTAGCATCCAAGCTGGATGGTGCATATCTGTAAGCCCATCACTCAGGAGGCTGAGGTTGGAGGATCAGGTGTAGGATGCTAGCCTCGGGTTACAAAGCAAGTTCCAGAGTTCCAGGCCATTGTGGGCTATGAGACTTAAAAAAGTAATAATAACAACAAAAATTAAGTATCTATATAGCCAATAAAAAATTTCTCCTTTAGCAATCATAAGAATTACACAGTAGATACCACATTATGTAACTATAATCGCAACAGAGCTTTCTCAAATTCTGTTTCCATACAGACACTGTGAAAATGAGTCTTTGAAATACCATCATACAAGAACGCTATTAATTCGGCCTACTCTCTGCTTCAGCTCACCGTGAGCTGGGGTGGGAGAGGTTTGAATTGAGATTTGCAGCCATCAAATTGCTGCTTGTCAGACTGATGGGTGGCATCATCATACAGCCTCCAGCACGCAGGTCTTCTCTCACAGCATCAGAGTTTGTGCTGGGATTGACAAGGCTTGGTAGCTCGGTGCTTGGAGCTTTTCTATCCTGAGTCAAGGCCTGCTTGTGCTCAGGCTGGCTATGTTCACCTTCACACTCGGTCTTTTTAGGGTCTGAGATATCTCCTTTTCTGCCTCTGACTTTAACGACTGTGACTTTGACCTCCTTAGGCTTTTTCTCTTTCTCCATTTCCTGGAATGGAGACATTGAAAGTCTGAGTCAAGAGAACCTTGCTTTTGTCATGAGAGACCTAACTACAATGCAGTTATGCAGGCTGAAGCACAAAGTCAAGTACTTACTTTTCCATAAACCGAAGTACTTAGCAGTGTGTTGGTAAAAACTAATTTTCTTTCCTCTGTCACTGGTTCATTTTCTTTAGGGTTCTCCTTTGGCTTTGAGAATGAATTAACCTTTGCCTCCTGTAACAATTTAGCTCTGAGCTCTGGGATGAACCTGATGAGTCAAACAGTATCAACCAATCATCTTTTCATTTTATGTTTTTTTGGGGGGTCATCTTAAGACAGGAGGGTCTCCCTGTAGCCCCAGCTGGCCTGGAACTATGTAGACCAGGCTAGCCTCGAACTTACAGAGATCCACCTGCCTCTGCCTCCTGAATGCTGGGATTAAAGGCATGCGCCACCACATCCAGTCAGATATTTTACCATTAATGAACTACTTAGTCAAGCACAAATAATGCTGTAATTATAACTACCAAGAGATGACATTTTTTATCTTACTTTGTTGCCCAAGATGTTCTCAAACTCAAGATCCTCCTGCCTCGCTTCCTGAGTGTTGGGTGATGGGTGCCACAACATCTGGCCAAGACAGCACAAATGTTTACGTAACAGTAACCGCTCGCTAGTAGATAGATCTTTCAAACATTTTGCTATGGGAACCTCCCATACAAAATTTATAAAACAGACTTAAATTAGATTGCTTTTGAGATATGAATTTAATGAAATGTCAGTCTGGGTTCTGATATAAAAGCTGCATGTTCTGAGGAATACTTAGACCATATACTAGTTTCTGGCTTGTTAAAGTAACAAGACTTAAATGATGAAATAACTAGTTTCTGAAATTTTACTGCAGATGAATATTCTCAGCTCAAAATATAGCAGAATACATCAATAATGCAAGAAATTTACTTTGCTTTTACTTTAGCTTTCTTTCTTGTTAAAACTTGTTTGGGGGGCTGGGGAGATGGCTCTGTGGTAAAGTGTGTGCTGCACAAGCATGAGGACCTGGTTTCACCCCCAGGTCCCACGTAGCAATCGGGCATCGTGGCACCTGTCTGGAATCCCTGAGGTAGGAGGATCCTTCGAGTTCACTGGCCAGCCAGCCAAAAGCAATCTTCTTTGAGACCTAGGTTCCATGGGGTGAGAGAGTTTGTCTCAGAAAAAAACAGTGAGGGCCAGCAAGATGGTAAAATGCTTCCTGCCAAGCCTGACAATCTGAGTTTGACCCCCACACAGAGGAAGGAGAGAACTGACTACTACAACCTGCCCTCCGACCTCTATCCGTGCGCACACGCTGTGAGTAAATCTAACAGTAATTTCAAAATGGAGTTTCTGAGGAACACCACCTGCAATTGACTTCTGGCCTCCACATGCACATGCAAACACAGTCACATGCACGCACACATACACTCATACACCCCTCCACACACATACACAAAAATAAATGTTATTTTTTAGTAGAAAATTGGTTCATACTGTTCAAAATTCCAAAGTCTATACCAACACGTCATCTTCCCATCATTCCCTGAACTACAGTTACCCCTCATTGAAGCAGCTACTACTGCTGAGTTTGGGGCAGTTTAAAAATACCATTCCAGGGCTGGAGAGATGGCTCAGTGCTTAAGAACACTGGTTGTTCCTGCAGAAGACCCGGGTTCCAATCCCAGCACCCACATGGCAGCTAACAACTGTCTGTAAGTCCAGTCCCAGGGGTTCCAAAAGCCTCTTCTGACCTCTGCGGGCATTGCACAGCATGGGTGTACTTACCTACATGCAGGCAATACATGCTTACACATAAAATAAAATAACAAATAAAAATTTTACAAAGATCAGTCCGGGGCTGGAGAGATGGCTCAGTGGTTAAGAGCACTGGCTGTACTTGCATAGAACCCAGGTTCAGTTCCCAGCCCCCACATGGTGGCTAACAACCATCTGTTAACTCCAGTTCCTGGGGCTCCAATACCCTCTCCTGACCTTGGCAGGCATTGTGTGACACAGGTACACTTACATACATGCAGGCAATATAGTCATACACATAAAATAAAAATAAATAAAAACTGTTTTAAAAAGCCACCAGTCCAGGGGCCGGAGAGGTGGCTCAGCAGTTATGAGCACTTCCTGCTCTTGCAGGGAACCAGAGTTTGGCTCCCAGCACTCGCTTTGGGTGGCTCACAACTGGAGGTGATCCAATATTCTTCTGGCTTCCACATGAACATATATAAATAAAAATAAAATAAATTCTTTAAAAATGCACTGTTTGAGCCAGGTATGGTGGCCACACACCTTTAGTTCAGCATATGGGAGGCAGAGGGAGGTGGATCACTGAGTTCCAGGCCAGCCTGATCTACACAGTGAGCTCCAGGCCAGCTGGGGCTATAGAGAGACCCTGTCTCAAAAAGACAAAACAAAAGCAAAAACCACTAGACAGATGACAAATGCTTACTTTTCAACGAACCCATCCCTGGTAAAATAATCATGATGCAAAAGATCAGTAGATGATATCCTCTCAGCTGGATCGATCTGTAAACAAGCCTAGAGAGGAAAAGAGAGTTTAATAAAAAGGGAGCTCTTTACAGGGTATACAGTTCATTTTTACCCAGAGCTAAAAGAGTTTGGGAAAAGGCAGATCTCCATCAGTCATTTCTGACCATTTAGAGATCGAGGCCAGCCTGGTCTACAAAGCGAGTTCCAGGCCAGCTGGGGCTACAGGGAGACCCTGTCTCAAAAAGACCAAAAAAAAAAGAAAAAGAAATTTAAGATCATTATTTTGTGTGTGAGTTGCAGGTATTCACACACTATGGCACTCATGTGGAGGTCAGAGAACAGGCTACACCATCAGTTCTCTCTCGTCACCTTGGGGGATCCAGGGATGGAACTCGGGCCATTAGGCCTGTCCATAAGTGCCTCTACTAGGCTGAGCCAGCTCACCAGTCCACAAAGTTAATGATTGGTTAAATATTCTATGATTCTAGTCAAAACAAAAATCAGTCTATAACAGAAACTGGAGAACTGAGGTTATAGCTCAGAGGTAGAATACTAGCTACCACATGTAATGCTCTGGGTTCAACCCCTGGCATCACACACACAAAAAAACATAATAAAGTTACATTGGATTAGCAGAAATTATTTAACTCTGATCTTTCCATCAGGCCTATGTGGTGGGAAAGTATGAGGGTAATAATTTACATTTTGCAAATCTAGAAGCATCATTGATGATTTGCCAGACTGTAATATTTTTTTTTAAAGACAGGGTCCCAGCTGGTCTGGAACTCGCTATGTAGACAAGGTTGGCCTCAATCTCAGAGATCGCCTGCCTCTGCCTCCCAAGTGCTGGGATTAAAGGTGTGCACCACCACACCAGACTGGAATGTTAACTCATGTCATCTGGCTCCAAATCCAGTCCCCTTCTGAGGCACAGTGCATCTGTTCATCATTAGGACAGTTCTTTCTGCTTCCCTGCCTTTGGAGTATTTCAACTAAATAGAGAAACAGCTAAAACCCAAGAACAGTTCAGGAAAATTATGAATGCTAGCTACACAGACTGAACCTACCTGTAGCTAAATACCTACACTGTTATTATAAACAGAACCCAGCCTAATGGCGGCGTACACCTTTAATCCCAGTATTCCAAGTCAGACACAGATGGAGCTCTGTGAGTTCAAGGCCAGCCCAGTCTACATAGTGAGTTTCAGGCCAGCTGGGGCTACAGGGAGACCCTGTCTCAAAAAAAAACCAAAAAACCAAAAAAACAAACAAACAAAAATAGAACCCATTATTTAAAATAATGAATAAAATCTGGATAAAAGGCATCTGTTTTATAAATTTTATTCTCGCCCCCCTCTAAAAGGCAAAACAGCATTCTAGCCTTTCCGTCACTCCATTACAACTTCAACATAGGCATTATCCTCCTCTGGACACACGAGATCAGGACCTGAAGATGTTTAATGATTTGCCCAAGATTTTCTTTTTTAACTGTATTTATTATTTAATGGGGTGGGGGGAGGGCATATGCCACAGACCAGGTGTGGAGATCAGAGGATGACTCTGTGAAGTCGGTTCTCTCCTTCCACCTTTCTATGGGTCCGTGGGAAAACTCAGGTTGTCAGGCTTGTGCACAAGCACTTTTACCTGCTGAGTTACCTTGTTGGCCCTTGTTTAAAACTGTATGTAGAAGGACCAGAATTAAAATACAGAAAAATCTAAGGAAAATATACATAAGATTTTCTGTTTACCTCAAAATGTATAGTAGAAACAGAAAAAGTTCTACAGAACAATGTGCATACAGCTAAAAAACTGTACTATATACTTAAGAATTGGTGATGTGGGGTGGGAGAGATGGCTTAGCAGTTGGGAGCACTGGCTGCTCTTGTAGAGGACCCAGGTTCTGTTGCCAGCGCCCACATGGCAACTAACAACCATCAAATCCAGTTCCAGGGGAATCTGATGCCCTCTGTAGCACTGCACACACGTGGTACATTTACATACTTGCAGGCAAAACTCTCATACACATAAAAGTAAAATAAATAAATTAAAAGAGATCTGATAAGAGAGATGTCATATTATGTGCTTTTTGCCACAAAAAAACTACTCACAAAGTAAAACTGAGTCTGTGTGTGTGTGTGTGTGTGTTTGTGTGGTGTATGTGTTCGTGTGCAGCTGTGCACACACCTGCATGTATATGGAATAGAGAGGCTGATATTGTTTTGAGAGCAAGTCTCTCACTGAACCTGAAGCTCAGCAGTTTGGCTAGACTGGCTGGCACCAAGTTCCGGGATTCTCCTGCCTCTGCCTCCCAGGGCTGACTGCAAGCACATGCTGCCAGGTCCTCATGTTTGCACAGCAAGCACTTCATGAAGTGAGCTATCTTCCAGTTCTGGGTGGTTTTAAAACTACAATTATTTGTGTGTGAATGTGTTTATGTGTGTGGGTGCATGTGCCACAGCATGCTTGTGAAGGTCAGACAATTTGTGAGAGTCGGTTCTCTCTTTCCACAATGTGCGTTCCAGAGATCGAACTCAGATCATTAGGCATGGCAGCAAGAGCCTTTACCCGCTGAGCCATCTTACCAGCCTCAGTGACCCTGTGTGTGTGTGTGTGTGTGTGTGTGTGTGTGTGTGTGTGTAAGCATGTGTGAGCATATGGAGGCCAGAGGATGACACTGGGTGTCTTCCTCAACTGCTCTCCATTTTAAATCTTCAAGACAAGGTCTCTGAGCCTGGAGCTCATCAATTGGGCTAGACTGGCTGACCAGTACAGTGTGCCTACCATGTAAGCATGAGGACCTGAGGTCAGAGCCCCAGAACCATGTAAAAGGATGGCCAAGGTGGTATGTGTATGCAAAAGGGCACTGGGGGTGAGGAGACGGGTGATCCTGGACGCTTATTGGCCAGCCAGGCTAGCCTAAGTGACAAGCTTCAGGTTCGTTCACTCTCTCTCTCTCCCCCTCCCCTCATGCTAAGTATGCACTGTATCACTGAGCTATACTCCCAGAAAGAGACTGTCTCAAAAACAAAAGGTGGAGAGCAACTGAGGAAAGGCACCTAGCATCCACAAGCACCTCCACAAGCACATGCACATGTGTGTACCAAAATGCCCACAGGCACACATCCACATTATCAAGTATAAAGCCCCTCCCCCACCACAAATAATGAAAGAAGGTCTTAGGATGTTTTTGTTCTCTCAATTTCAGGTGAATTTTGGTACTGGTGTATCCTCAGCAACACTAAAGTTACAGCTGCCAATGGATGCCTTTGTAGATACTTAGGGTATCAAAGTACAAAGAAAAGCTCCTAGCCTGGCTAGACTAGAAGCTAAAAGATGATAAACATGGCAAGTCCTTAAAATGTTTCCAATTTATGCCCAATGATCATTAAAGTTGGAGTTAAACCAAAAAAAATGGCATGGTTGGCTTTGAGGGCTGTTTTAAGTATGCAAATTTTAATTTCTCTTTATTAATTACTGTCTTTCTTTTTTTGTGGTTGTTTTGAGACAGTCTCCTTGAAGCCTCAGCTAGCCTGAAACTCACTATTTAGACCAGGATGGTCTTGATCTCACAGAGATCTGCCTGCCTCTGCCTCCTGAATGCTGGGATTAAAGATGGGCTCTTTATTAATTTCTATGTAACTTGTAACATGCTAACACTACTTTAGGAATCGTTCTGGAATTTCACTAATGTAATATTTTAAAACTGTGTTATTGCTGGGAATGTGGCTCAGTGTGGATGCTTGGCAAGCACGCACAGAGCTGCAGGTTCTAACTCCAATACCAAAAGAACAAGTCCTGTATTATCATTTATGCAAATTCTCAGACTTTCTTAACATACATGAACTATATCTGCCAACAATCCATTGAGCTTTGGATATTTTTTTCTTGCATTTTTTGGGTGTTGAACTTGAGGAAGAACCATGCCAGCAAAAATGGGACTCTTAGAAAAGATATTCTGCAAGTGAGGTGTCAAATTGCCTGAAAAGAGAACAAAATATAACAAATGGAAATTGGTCTACAATGAAAATAATGAAATTTGGTGTGCTCTGTATTAAATTACTAACATGGAGACAAGGAAGAGTATCGATTTTTAAATTTTATAGCTGAACAAGAAAATATCTAAATATGTCATAAAAACTGAGGTTCTGAAGCTGTCATCCATCCCCATGAGCTGCTGTGGTCCCTCTTTGAGCTAGAGCTGTGGTCCCCTACCATGAGTCATGGTTCCACATTTCTCTGTCGTGGGCTGATGGAGCAGCAGACAGAGTGGAGGAAGGAGGACTTCCTGTTGTTGGGCAGCAGTTTCAGCCTTCCGAGTGGCTACATCCCCACAGCCCCTCTCCCAAGGTCCCAGGTTATGCATGGCACTGGCTTTGCCTCTGTGTTGGGCTTATGCTGGGGAGTTTTCTGTCATTTGCAGATTCTGGTCTTGGGAGGACTAGTTCTCTAGAATGGACCGCCCACCTCCCCTGAGAGCCAGCTGTGGTCTTGACTCCACACATGGTCCTGGGCATCCAGGCCTTGATGCTAGACTTTTCTCATTCCTGGTCACCAAGAGGCTTTCCATTATTTTTCTATTATTCTTCTACAGCCCCAATGTGCCTTCACCTATGTCGTACAGAGAACATAAAACACCTAACCTAATTTAACTTCTAGAAATAAAAATCACAGTCTGGGGAATTTTTTTTTTTTTAAAAAAAAGAGAGCCACATTCACCCTTCCATCTCCCCTGCTGTTCTCTACTCCTAGTTTGGGCCCTGCACCATTCCTAGTCTTGGGGCCCCAGACACCTGGGGAACCAATACTGCTTCCTGATACTTTTCAACCAGACCAACTTAGTGCCTTTCTTAGGCCCCAGGAGCATGGCTTCTGGACCTGGCCCCGCCCTCACCTCTCTCTGCTTCCCTGGAACTGCATGACCGGCTAACTCTCCTAGCCTGCACTCCTATCCTCAGGCCTCTTGGGGTAAGTCTATAGCGCAGCCCCCTGCGCCTTGCGCCTTGCAGCCACATTCACCCTTCCATCTCCCCTGCTGTTCTCTACTCCTAGTTTGAGCCCTGCGCCATTCCTAGTCTTGGGTCCCCAGACACCTTGGGAGCCAGTGCTGCTTCCTGATCCTTTTCACCCGGACCGGCTTGGTGCCTTCCTTGGGCCCAAGGAGCACTGCTTCTGGACCTGGCCCTGCCCTCAACTCCCTCTACTTCCCTGGTCCTACAACAATAGCCAGCCTCTTTCTGGGATGACAGCCTCCTTCTGGGGCTCCGAGGCTTACTTTCCTCTCCCTGATCCTTTGTATACAGTACAACCCAGCTACTCAATCCACTCCCTGGGAAATCTTGGAGCTTCTTCCCACCCCATCTGCCTTTGCATCCCTGCATGGCATGGCCATGGCCAGGATCTCAGGTCAGTCCAACACCCAGGTTCCTGAGGCCAAAATCATTCTTAGAAGATTCCAGACGTAAGGAGAAAGTCTGAAAACTTCTGATCCACA